ATCTGAAGTGCCCCTCCAGGGGAAAATTTCATAAAGAAACACTGGATTCTACACTCCACAACTCTGATTACAAAGCACACAGAAATTATGCAACATATGTTAGACATGAAGTAACACTGTAAGCAATAAAATTCAACACTATGTGCCACGTTAGCTGATCTAACTGGAGTACAAAATTATTATTTATAAAAATGAATTAAGAGGCCAAAAAGTTCATTAACACTGCAGCTGAAAAAAAAAATGAAAAAAAAAAAGATTTTGTTATTCCCAATCCTGAGTTTTAATGAAAATCCCTTATTTCTTCTAACCGTCCATGGCTAAATAAATATCTGGTTAATTAATGTTACAGTGACTTTAAATCAATCAATTATGCTATCATTCAAGCGCCAGTCAGCAAGCAGTGAGGGTGGGATGGGGAGGAAGGGGTGGAGTGCAGTGCACACAGAGCTTTAGCCTAAGCCGCGGTCTTTGAAGAATTCTTGACATGGTCCTGCTGATGGACAGCGCAAAGAAAAAAAAAAGACATACAGTCACATGGACATTATGTTTAGTCAAATTTGTGGCATTCCGTAACAAAAGTAAATGGTGTAGTAATAGCAAGACGACTTTTGATTGGAGAGATATATCTTCCTATTCATATATTTTAAAGGAAGCAACTTTTTAATTCATCGATTTCCCTGATTTTCAATAATTTTTCCATTACGAACCTTGAAACAGTAATTATTGATGATATTTTAAAATTTCGATCGAAGAATAGGACCTTGCAACCGTAGAGGCTATAGTCTAGGCCTAGAGCAAATTTCAACTCTTGAAAAAATTCAAGAGATTATCTAAAACGTTGTGAAATGTAAAATTAAATGAAAGTTTGTCAAAATTCAACTTGAGATCTGTACCTGTGATCTCACGCATTTAAAAAGAATTCTAAAAATCGCACCACTTACACGCTCCGAAATTATTAGGATATATTAAATTTTGGTTATAAATATTAACATATTAACGTATAATACATTATGTTGCGCCGGGCGTTCGCCTTTTTATCCCTATCGGTAAGTCAATGTCAATAATGATACATAACTCCCATGCTCATATGTCCCAGTTTCAACCCTAAAAAATATTATGGTAACCCAAACAATAACTATTTATTTAATACTGTGCTATAAATTATACTAGTATTTACCATACTAGTTTGAACTATTGACGTGTTCATCTTCTAATGTGCGCAAAAGCTAAATTTATTTTGCACAATATGTCGGTCATGGATGACGAAATGAATACCAGACTCGCAAAAGCAAGTGCAATATTTGGAAGACTCCCCAGCACTGTTTGGGACAGGAGAGGTATCAGACGAGAAACGAAGATCAAGGTTTATAGCGCAGCAGTCCTCTCGGCATTGCTCTACGGATGTTGAACGTCACGCCAAGAAACTAAACCACTTTCACACACCCTGCCTCGGGAAACTCCTCGGTATCGGGTGGAAAGATACAGTTCCTGACACGGAGGTCCTCGCTAGAGAGAACCTGCCTAGCATCTTCACCACGCTGATGCAGTGTCAACACCGTTGGACGAGACACGTAGCATAAACAGCTATTCTTCGGTGAACACACGCTAGGCAAACGCTCCCAAGGAGGTCAAAGAAAGTGATACAAAGACACACTCAAAGCAGCACTAAAGGCCTTCAGCATCAACCCAATTAAATGGGTGGAGACAGCCCAGAACAGAGCCAAGAGGAGATCAGCTGTCAAGAAGGGGGCTCAATCTCACGAAGGCAGAAGGATTGCGACAACTGAGACACGCAGGTGTGTCCGAAAAAGCAAGATTAGACCACCGACTACAGCAACTATCCACTGCCCACGATGCCAAAGACTATTCCGAGCACGGATCACACTAGCAAGCCACCTACACACTCACAGTATACCCCCCCCTTTTTTTTTCAACCGGATTACTACATAATCCTCGTCGATCTTGACGGACGAATAACACAATGTACCCTACTATCAAATTTTATTTTAGACTTTTTTTTAAAGACCAAGGCTCCGTGGAAAAAAAAGACGGGAGAAAGACGCACACGTTATCATGACCGGACCTCCTTGCTGGTTTTTTGCCCTGGCCATCCTTAAATTAGTTTAATTAAATTAAACTGAAATAAAATTAAAATATTATTTCATAAAATTTTATTTGTGCCAATAGTCAGAAAGTGGACTTTAAACCTACACTATTGATAAAACTAAAGTAAAAATAGTCAAGTATGTGCAAACTAGTAACCGATAATAATAATAAACAATTTTCGTTATCAACAATTCCAATAAATCTTTCCTCACAGATAGATTATTGCAAGCGACTAGAAATTTTAATCTTTGAAGAGGTAAGCCACACAATGTAACAATTTGCACTTTAAAAAAAAATCAATTCACTATGTTTAAAAAAATTAAGGGCTACCTATATAAAATATAATTATTAATTATCATTAGTAGTAAGTCAAGTAAAGTAAAAAAAAAAGCCAGAGTCAGAATACGACAGTGGGCCCAGTGACAGTGGCCATGGCCGAAAAAACAACAAAAATGTTAAATAAAAAGAGTGTTATTAATTTATTATTATTATTGGCCTTTGCCCTGGCTCACTGCATTGGCCTTAAGTTTAAGCCTTAGCCTACTCATAACTTAGTTAGACTTAGGCTTAGGTGCTACCCCCAAATGGTCACAAATGACAAATGAAATATGAGGACACTTTTCTATCACACTTCACACATTTATGAAACACATTATTACAAGACAAATTTGTTTGCCCCACCCCCCCCAAAAAAAACAAAAAAAAAAAAAACACCAGGATGTGTGGTCTTTAATGGATGACCCCTTAGCTTATTATGCAGTCTTAGTTTAATGCTTTACTTTACTTTAGGCTCGGACTTAGCACTATTCAGGGACTCAGGACTCAGGTACGCATAGCTGCTATTTGGACCCGGGTCCCTTTAGACTAAATGCAATTCTGATGTCATTTGTGATAGTTTATTTTAGTTAAACTGAAGAAGTAAGTTTACAAACATATAGTACATTCAATTATCGGCAATCCTCCGAAGTCCGGTCCCAAATTATTTTGTATGAAAAAAATTGCAATGCACAGTATCTGTTGTTAGAAAACAACAGAAATGTCAGTCATAGCTTTTGCAAATAACTGTCAGTTTACAAACCAGTCAGTAAATACGAAATGTTGTATTTGTAATTGGCACATAACATTTCCAAGTAGCAGCCGAAAATGTTCTGCTTGTGACTGTTGCACCACTGAAGGCTCCAAGTAGCTGGCAAACAGACCGTGACTAGTACCACTCTGATAGCAGAGTTTACATTTCGCTTGCATCCAAAGTCCTTTATTGGTTTATGTGTGAATGTCCTAATCTACTGGATCAACAAATTCACGCGCGTGCACAATGATAGCGTGAGCATAAATCCCGTTGTTGAGCTGACCGAAATTTTGATATCCTCGCCCATCGTCCGTGATGATAGCTGTCCCTGGTAACACATGATTAGTGATAATGCGCTCGAGTGTTTGTGCATCTCGACGGCCGACAACCTCCATCCAACATTTTCCACTGCCGCAAACATGAATTTCAAAAACAGAATGATGCCCAGGACTTTTAAGTAAGGAGTAATCATTGGAAATAATTTGGGACCGGACTTCGGAGGATTGCCCAATTATCTTTCATTTGATACCAAATTTTGTCTTACAAACCCAACAATAATATTTTAAATATTTTTTAGTCCCAACCTCTCACTTCTGATACTGATACCCGGGTCTGAATAGCCACTTCATATTTCTTTACAAATTAAAATAGTTCCTAGATCTCCTACTCCTCCTAGATTTAAATAAATTCATTTACTTGAGGGAGGGTTGTGAATTAAAATGAGCTCATTAATATTAGTTGGTATCAAAGTATCATATCATTAATGTCATTATGCCATAATATTTTCATTCTAAAGCCTACTTATTTTTGTAATATTTTAAGGGAATAAGTGAAGTGGTAGGGTTATTAGCTGGTCGAATGATTTTTTTAATAATGTCCTATGCCTATGGGTACATTGATTCAATTATAGAAAACAATGACCAAAAATTAATAAGCAATAGTAGCAGTGTGTAAAATTAGATCATAAGTTTTGTCCTCATTTTGTGACTGCTGTGATTTAACTGTGCTTAGAATGATGAAAAATCATAAAACCATACTTTATGTTATTGTGGCAGCAGTTTAAATCCATTATTGGAATGGTCAGAGCAACTCTCATTTTTGGTTCCAGCACCTGATGTGTTATTTAATATTTACAACAAAATTTACATGTGCAACAAGGTGACCACATATTTCTTTCCAAGTGACAGTCATGTATTTTTTAAAATGTTTGTTATGATTAGATTTAGTTGAAGCAAGACTGTATAAGACAGGCCTAATGAATTGACTATTCATAGTTCAAGGTCCATAATACATTAATCCATAATCATTAGTTCATGCCTTGGAAGACATTTTTTTATTTGTACTCACATTACCTAATGATTAAGTTTCCCAAATGCTAAAGGCCTATATTATAAATACAATTTTAAAAAAAATCTGAATTTGAAATCTTTACAACAGATTCTCAAAAAAGGTTGTATCCTAGTCTAGCCTATATGACACCCAAGAATGATAAAAGAACAAATTCAACCTATAGCTTCCAATACAAAGTTGCAGCTTTATCGGCATAACTATGGCCTTGTATGTATGACTGGACTTTTAGGTTGTCGATGGCACCGCTATCAGCAATCTACACGGAGCAACAGAAAGGTTTGAAATCTTTTATTTGTTGAATATAAAAATTGACCAAGTCTAAGTAAAATATAATGTCCTCGAATAATGTCCCTGATAAGGTATATCCAAGTAAGTTTGAATCTAAGTTAATCAAATGATAGATTAGTAATTAGTGTGTTTTCTTAAGGTGGAAATATTCTACCATGTACCAGTTGGAAGTAGGTTTTATTTTGTATTGGCATTGGGCAAAGCCTGGTGCAAATAAGAGTACTTTTTACTGGTGTAGCAGGGTTTTAAGCTTCACTTCTTGGGGAGCAGATAAACCCTGAGTAAAAACCTCATGAAATAAACCAAAAACCAAAAAGTTGTGTCGAATCCATCCTAAAATACACAAAAATGAAATGAAGATAGATGTCAAAGAGTAAGAAAAGGCTATAGCTTCCCCTGACACCATCGATAATGGGTGATGACTTTTTCACCCAGCTGATTAGCAGAATGTATCTGGTGATCAACTCAGCCTATGTGCCTCAGGTTCACTCAAACACCAGCTGTGGGGCAGGTTATTCTCTAAAATGGAATCATCATGATATGCGCAATTAAATTTTTCCCTACTGCTGCTCCTTCTGCATGGCAACTTGACGGCTCTAGAAAGCAGCTGTGTCAGGCTTGTCATTTTAAGCATCACTAGCATACGATATGTTGCAAACTAATTAATGGCTGATTTTATTGTAGCTGCCATGCTTTACAAAGCTTTTTTCCCCCTCATTTCAGAGAGATGTACTGAGCTTCTGGTCAATGTGTTTTACTTACTTCTATTCGCTGGTCTTTTTCTACTTCTGGCTTGTTGTGAGCAATGATACTTATTTTATAAATAGGTGAGTCAACAACGGAAAATTGTTCAATTAATGATTATTTCTGTAGAGAAGTAACTTTAGTAAGAAATATAATGTACACAATTTTTATCCTTAAAAAACCTTTCTTGTGCAATTACTTTGCTAACTTAATAAATATCAAGCCTTTATTATATATATAATAAAATGGTGAATGCTTAAGAAGATGTTGTTTTTTTCCTTGCAGTGACATGTTTCAACGGGTAGGTCAGTACATTCCTTGGTATGGCCTTGGATTAGGACTGTCCTCTGCCATTTTTGTGTACCTAACGGTAACAACAGTAAGTGGTGTTTTTTTGAAATGGTCAACATGATCAAATATCTTAATAGTTTAAATTTTTCCTTAAGGAAAAAATAGTAAATATTTAAGGCGCTGTTGGCTTAAAGGCAAATTTACTTAAGAAAATAAGCAAAACAAAGTATGGTGAAAACACTGGAAAAAAAGGATGCAACAAAGCAACAAACATATCGCCAAGAAGCCTTTTTCTAAAACTCCCCAGTAAAAAAATTACAAACGGTTTAAAAAAAATTTCATTTACTCAACGTGGGGAGGAAGTTGCAGACCTGTTTACTCTTACGATTTTGGCACACAATGTGCAATGTGAGATGTCTTTTACTATTGTACGCCAAGACCTGACCGAACTACGATTTTAAGAGACCGGGTTGAAAATATACACATTTCTGTAGTTTTTTCCCATTTAAAATAATATTTATTTAACAAGTACATTTTCGGTTGTTAGTTTTTACTTGCATTCGCATTCTACATCCAGCAGTGAATGAATCCAGAAATATGATCGCCTGGATACCATCTATAATTATATTACATTTGCCTTAAAAGGGGAATGAAGTGTTGATTTAAGAGATTTTGTGTACGGGTGGAGGGAGGGCGCTCTAAATAATTGTCTATAAAACTAACACCGCCACATTTTCGTAATACTAGCAGGGATTGTCATATTTTTGCTTTGTGTTTTCATATTGATTTCGCTATACATGGCTACAGTAACATTAGCTTTGTCACCTTTGAGGCCATTGTAGTCAATCCATGGGCCATCCTTACGCAGTACCAAGTATGTTATTCGAACATTTTATAATATTCATCCCGAAACTCAGAAAGTCCAAAAAATAGCCTTCTAGTTTTATCAGATGCTGTAAAACATCATGTTATGTTTTGTAGGAGTTATCTTCATAATTTTGCCATGTATTTTTACAAATGAACTAGCTAGATAAATTCAGATTGTACTAAGTAGAAGAGGTATTAGAGTAATGTTTAGTCTACTGTATGTCCAACGTGCTTGTGACATATATTTTGTTGGGCTATGTCAGAGGCTCTAAAATTGTTGTTTCCCGGCACCTATATAAAATTCAGGTGTTCAATTCTAGCAAGTACGATTTGAAAAAAGTGGTTATTTACGTGTGACAGGTTATGTTCATATGACTGGTTAAACTCTATGGTATATGTATATATATATATATATATATATATATATATATAAATATATGTATTTATATATATATATATATATATATGTGTAACTTTTTTTTTTTTTTACCTACAGCTACTAGGTCTACTTCACATACTGCTGGGGCACCAGATCTACATCCATCCATTCCATCAGCTGATTGTCCTTGCAGCCATGATTGGCTGCATCACAGTCACGGTGCTCATTGGTTTATTTTGGCCCAAAATTTGGCCCTTAGTCTTCCTGTCTTTAAAGGTTGGTCTTTTTCAGTGTGGAACTGATTAGCCTAACCCTAAATGTAAACACCCTTCTACAAGTATCTCAAGCTGATTAGCTTAACCCTAGATGTAAACACCCTTCTACAAGTATCTCAAGCTGATTAGCCTAACCCTAAATGTAAACACTCTTCTACAAGTATCTCAAGCTGATTAGCCTAGCCCTAGATGTAAACACTCTTTCTTCAAGTATCCCAAGCTGCTTAACATTTTGAGTAACCGTTTTAAAAACATTTTACAGTTTTACCAGATATTCTCATTTTTCATTGATTTAAATGATGTTTATTATAGGTAGATATTTCAACAGGAAACTGAAGAAATCATTGTATACTCAATTAGTAATGTAGCAAGTTCTTGTTAGTTTCTTGTTTAGTTTTTTTGTGAGTTTCTTGTTCAATTTCTGTGAGTTTCTTTTTCAGTTTTTGTGAGTTTCTTGTTCAATTTCTGTGAGTTTCTTTTTCAGTTTTTTGTGAGTTTCTTGTTCAATTTCTGTGAGTTTCTTTTTCAGTTTTTGTGAGTTTCTTGTTCAATTTCTGTGAGTTTCTTTTTCAGTTTTTGTGAGTTTCTTGTTCAATTTCTGTGAGTTTCTTTTTCAGTTTTTGTGAGTTTCTTGCTCAATTTCTGTGAGTTTCTTTTTCAGTTTTTGTGAGTTTCTTGTTCCCATGTTTTATTTTGTGAGCAGGCGACTGAGTAAAATTAATTAATTGGAATTTTCCCAATTTTATGTTAAAATTATTTTGTTTTAATTTTAAGCCTTTTGTATCTGTTTCAGGTGTATGGTCCATATCTCCAGATCACAGCCATTGTAGTATTAACACCTCTCTCTTGGCTCCTGTATCGACAGTGGTTTAAACTTTCATCATCATGTAGGTATTTTTTTTACTATGATTCGGTGATGATGTAATTGTGATTTCTTAAAAATATTTTTTTGTATTTTAACTCATCTGTTAAAAATGTAATTTCACTTGAGTGAGGCTATAATGTGTCATGATGTCAAGATCCCTGTATATATTTGATTGGTTTAAATTCATCAGGTTTTTCACATGTTCGTACGTCGTTATAAACAGAATTAAACACACAAGTCCTTGTCCATAATTAATGTAACTTTAATCCATATATATATCCAACAGACTGTACATTTCATTAACACTTGTGTAGTGCAGCTGGCTATGAGAGAGAATAATAAACAACCTTCCTACAAAGTTCTTTCTATGATTGCTCATGATTACACCTACGACATAAAACAAACTAGACAGTACGACATAATTACCATAAAAGTATGTCACAGTAAAATGGGGGAAGACATTCATCAACTAATAAAATGCTTAAAAAACACACAGTGCACAATAAACACAATATCCTGTGTGCAAAATTTTTGAGTGAGCTCTCATGCTCGACGCATGACATCTCTCTCAATTTGACATAATGTCAGCCCATCTTTGTCATTATTTCTCCCTGACTTAGCCATTATTTTCCCCCAACTTTAGGGGTTTGGGGAATTTTTTTCCTTAGAAAGCATTAAGCTTATCTGTAGTGCGAGAGTGAAGTAGAATACTCTTGAAAGCCCAAATTCTACTTGTTAGTCATAATGATATATACATTTGCCGTTTTAAAAAATATTATTTAAATCTAAATTTCTTCTGCTCTGTCAGTATGAGTTGAACAAAAAAAAGAATGCAATCAAAGATAATTTGATGACTACCCAAAGTGGTTCACTTTGATTTCCACAACTCCCACTAAGAACATCAAATATAATGCTCCCAATTTTATTGTTCACTTTACAATTGCCAGGTGAAAAAACCATGTGGATGTTTTTCTGGATATCAACATTGCTCTTGCTGTATTTATCACCCTTAGCCATCAACTCACCACTAGTTAAAAACTCATTGCCAGAAAAGCCTAGAATCATTGCAATGGGAGGAGCTTCTCAGGTAAATTGGTTTAGAACAAGTGAAATAATTTTTGATGTATTTATATGGACCAACAATGGGCAATCTTTTTTTAAGTGTGCATGACAAAGTCACCACATCTTTGATGCAAACATTTTTCATATATCAATTGATATTTATTGGGTAAACAAATTGTAATGTGTAAGAACTATTGGGAAAATGTTATCAAATCATAAAAGTGACACTTGAGCAGTAAAGCCAGAGAATATTATAAATTGATTATTTTAGTCAATAGATTGAAAGTATGCAAATTTAGTGGTACATTTTTACTTAAAGGTTGATCTGTCTTGTTGAAAGGTCAATATTTTTATCTTGCCTTTACTTGGACATTAAAATTAAAGGCATTGCGTTATTTATTAATCCTCAAATTTGGTTTTTACAACTGGCAAAGAAGTTAGATATTTATTTATGTATTTAATAAACTCTAGGGGTTAAAAAGGCCCTAAAGATTTGCTGTTGTATCACATTAGACCAGAGTACCTAATGGTACCCACTCCTGACCTAAAACCATATACATTTTTTCGAGTAGCTAAAGGCAAGAATTATGATATATTGTTTGATTATATTTCAGCTTAAATGGTCCTCATAGTATCCTTGTGTGTTAAGTAGGCATAAAGAACATGTATATCATTTCTCTTGATACAAATCACCCACTGTTTGTCATCTATTGGAGAATTTATGACTGTGAACATGTTATGAACTTCACTATTCTCCATAAAATATTAAATTGTCAACTTGGTTTGCTAAATCTGATTATGAAACAAAACTCTACCACCAGACTCTCATTTCTTGTGTATACTGTCACAAATGACTGGGGCGGGGGAACAGGACAGAGCTCTGTTGTGGTTAAGATAACTTATTGGATGGATGGAAACTGCTGCTATTTTAGGGAAGGCATTGTTAGAGTAGGGGGGTGAAGTTAAGGTTAATAGACATTGTCACATTCTTGAGATAGAGGGGATTGTTTCTTTAGATAATATTATGTTTCGGGCCTCCTAGATTACACATAGTAATTTTGGGTTAATGACGGGAATTCTAATTGACCGGAAATTAAGGGCAGGGATGGGGTAATTGAGAGCATTCCTGGGCCACCTATGGAGTTAGAGAATGGCATATAAGATAGAGCTTTTACGGAGTTAACGTTAGTTGAGGAAGATAGAGAAGAACTACGGCTTAGTTGAGGAAGAGGTACGACGTAGTTTAGGAAGAGAGAGAAAAGAGCTACGAGAGAATTGAGCAGTTGTTAGGTAATAGTCGCAAGAGATCAGGAGACGAGTTTACTGGTGGAACGTAGGAGACGATCTAGTTTAACAGTTTAGAAACAATCGTAGATAGCTGACAGTTAGTGTTAGTAAAGACTATTGAAGAATTTTTATTTGAGTAATAAATATAGTCTATTTTATCATTGGACACCTGTACCACATGGGTCAGGAGACGAGTTTACTGGTGGAACGTAGGAGACGATATAGTTTAACAGTTTAGAAACAGTCGTAGATAGCTGACAGTTAGTGTTAGTAAAGACTATTGAAGAATTTTTATTTGAGTAATAAATACAGTCTATTTTATCATTGGACACCTGAAGTTTGAGTTGTTGGATTTCGTTCCAGTCTACGTTGTGCTTTTGTCTGTCTCAACGCCTAGATACCCACAATATAAATCACAGAGAGGAGCGGTCCTGTACTGACCACCATCTAAGTCAATACAGTTTGTGATAAGTCAGGACCGGAGCCCTCCTCCGTAACAACCGTTCTGTGACATATACAAACAGCAAGCAACTCTCTTGAAACAAACTGTTTTCTGGGTTATTATTTAAATTATTAAATAATTTTTAAATTAATTTTTTTAATCGTTTTTTTTTTGCATGTTTCTTTTTTTTTCAGGTTGCTCCAGAAAACACACTCTTTGCCTTTAAGAAAGCCATAGAACTTGGGGCTCATGGACTATACACCACATTGCAGATAAGGTGACTTTATAGAAAGATTTGAAAACTGTTTTGTTTTCTAACAACTTTTCATGTATAAAAAATCCAAGACACATTAGAAGATTGAAAATATTATCACACTCTTTTCTTTTGGCAATTGGTATTTAATTGTTCCAAAAAAAATTTTTTTATGTTTATCCATGAAATTTCTTTGCTATGATTTCCAATTTCTAATTGGCAGCGATTATTCGTACCCGAGTACAAGAAGTGACAGGTTTAATTCAATTATCTTTCATTTGATACCTCATTTTGTCTTACAAACCCAACAATAAAATTTTAAATAGTTTTTTAATCCCAACCTCTCATTTCTGGTACCCGGGTACGAATAGCCACTTTGTTTCTAATTTCCAATATCCAAAAATCTAATTTTTATATTTTAAAGAATCCGATTGTTGTTATAAAGTTTTAATCTATTTCTTTGCCCCCTAGTCTTGATGATGTGCCATTTCTCATGACTGATAAGAGCCTCCTCCGCACAACAGATGTTCTACAAAAGTATCCGTCTAAAGAAGTCTTTGATGCAAAGTCTTACAGCATAGCTGAGTTGAAAAACCTAAGTGCAGGGATTTGGTTTTTAGAGGTATTCAAGCAGTGTGAGAAACATTGGGTTTCGGGTGCTCCCATAGATGGAAAGAATCCAAACAGCTTTCTAACATACTGAACTTATGGGTGGGTTTGGCAGGAAAAATATTAGTAACTTATTGAAAGATCTGGCTTGTTTATTGAGATAGGTTTAAAGGTGGAATTATATAGAATTTTACAAATTTGACATTTAATTTTTTAAAATTACCCACAATTGGAAACAATCACCCAATCATTTTTGTACAGGGTTTCTCCAGCATATTTGTTTTAAATACATAGGTAAGATTGAAGAGCCATAGGCTGTAATCCAGCCTTATGAACATTAGGAGTGATGTCTGGATTTATGCAAACACTCTAATTAAGTTGGTTGTGTTTTTCAATGCCATCTTAGAGTGACCCATGTGGTACAGTTGGGGATCTGACAGAAATGGAAAGATCACTCATTGAAAATGCAGAGATCCCTACATGGAATGAGTTTTTGATCTTCATGGCAGACTACCCGCTGACTAAAGTCTTCCTGGAATACTCTCCAATGTCTGGGACTCAAGCAATGGGAAAGATTTTAAGTTTGGAGTTTATGCAACATCCGAACCTGAACAAATCAAATGTAAGTGGAAAAACCAGGGTCACCCAGTGGATTAACTTCTTGGATGTGGATTAACTTCTGTGATGTGGATTACCTTCTGGGATGTGAATTAACTAATGGGATGTGGATTTGCTTCTGGGAGGGGAATCAACACCTGGGTCACTCAGTGAGTTAACTCCTGGTATGTGAATTAACTTCTGGGAGGTGAATTAACACCTGTGTCACTCTGTGGGTTAACTTCTGGGATGTGGATTAGCTCTAGGAGGGGAATTAGAAACTTCTGGATTAACAGATGGATATGGATTAAACCTGGGATGATGATGATTAAACCTTGGAAGTGAATTATCACCAGGGTTTATGGTCTCCTCAGTGTTACAAAGTGGTTTGGGTTTAAAAATAAAATTCGGGGATTTTGTTATTTGCTCTAAATGACAATAATTTGATGTATTTCGTTTCAGTTTTATTTTCCAGTGAACAGTCACAGGCCCGAGGGAGTATCATCCCTTGTTTTTGGCTATGCCGGATCAAAAAATTTACAAGATGCAAGTGTTGATGCGGCTTTGTTGTCTTATGAAGGCCCACTGGCAGAAACCATCCAGTGAGATTTCTATATAATTATTAAGGGACCTATGTAAATTAGTTTTTATAACTTAGCACGAGAAATATTGCTTAACTCATCTGAATGATTTTATAACTTAGAACACTGAATGATTTTTAATGTAAAAGTTATGACACAAAGTAGGCTATGAAATTATCCAGATTTAAACACACATTTATACTTTTAAAAGCATTGTCTACCTTGGACAAGGCAGTTTTAAACAAAAAAAAATTTTTTCCAAGATTATCATTTCTTAATGTTAGTTGTAAGAGAGACTCATCAATTTAAGAAAAGGGTTATCCCTATTTGAAATGAGTTATAAGACATCAGTTGTACATATCCATTGTTTCTAAAACTTATTTTCAGACAATTTCACGGCTACAACATACACACAATCATCACAGACGTCAACAGCAACTGGCTGCTGTCTATAGCCTGGTGCCTGGGGGTAGATTACGTGGCCACGTATGACGTGCAGCTCATACAGAATTTAAACTCTCCATTGTATCAATGGGTAAGTGGACTAACTAGAGGATGTCATTTTGCACTGTTGATCCCAGTCCACTGACTGGACACACAAATCCCAGTCTGCTGGACACACTGATCCAGGCCACTGTACATACCAATCACAATCCACTGACCTCACTGATCCCACTTCACTGGACACCCCAGGACCAGAGGGAAGTAACTTCACTTAGCTGATGACTCAAGTTTAAAATTAGGCCTAGGCGATCCTAACTTTGTATGGATTGGCAAAAATTTTGTAAATTATACTTTGAAAGAGAGCAATGGTCAGAAGAAAATATATTACCTATTGTAAGATATGGGTCTAATCAAATTTTATATAAATGAATTTGTCATGTTCGTCCTGAATAACAACAACTGATTAAATACCCCTTCCCTCTTGCTGACTAGAGGTGATTCCATGAAACAAGTGCCCCCAATTCATTCAAGTGTTTCATTCTCTTTGAAATAATTTTTTTTTTAAAGTTTTTGTGGTGCATGCAAAATAATATGTATTCATAAGCAAAGTTCCCTCTAAGGTTTCCTGGTTCATGTACAAAATCATACAGTTGTGCGCAAAGTTTTACAGCATCAATTTTTTGTGTGCAAAATTTTACAGCCCAAAAAAACACGGAAATAACATAAATGAATTTAAGTGCAAACATTTTAGATAAATAAATAAAGGAACTATAATTAAATAATTATAATCAGAAATGTCACAATAGTTCAATTAAAACTATATTTATTTCTATTATTTATACCATCGTTGGGTCAAGCAACTAAATTCCACCACAGCCACTACCAATGGCCGCTAGTCATTTGATTCACTCATTGCTGGAGGTACTCTGGCGTCTGTCTTTCAACGATATCCATCTGTTATACACATCATCAAGGTTAATCTGATGTCCATTATTCTAATACGATTTAATCCTCATAAGCATGTTTAAATGTAACTATGTAGCAGCTTGCATAATTCAGCAAGTTCACCAACAACTTCATCAAAGACAATCAGTGCAGTTCAAAACTGCGGATTCTTTAGTTTCTTCAAAAAGTACTTATGAACTGGATCATAAAACAAGCCTACCTGGTCCTCACAGTATTTAGTCAACACTTGCATGTTTCTAAGCAATGCTCGTCAAGCAAAGTGCCGCGAAAATCATTTCATTTAATGGTCTGAATCACTTTCCAACACCTTAGCTATAGTTTGGTAAACTATACTGAACTATGTGTGCACTATCCTAAGAAATGTTTCAATGTCAGCCATTAAACTTATATTTTTGCAAACATTATCGATGCCTAAATCTTCATGATGAGCAACGCAATGTTGTTCCAGTAAATGTCGAATACGTCGGCGAATAATTGCTGTCTTGCATAACCGATGCACCATCAGAGGGAGGTAAACATAACTGTTTTCTGCATGTCCAATACATTCTCTTGAAAAAATTCTGTTATTGCTGATGCCACGGATTTACTCTCCCATGTCGACAGAGACAAAATTCCAACAAACACTTTCTTTAAACATTACCGGGATATGGCCGAAACTTTGCGTATAAGATCAACATTTTTGTCAGGGATATATCAGTGCTCTCATCTACTGTTAATGTGTGGAATTTTTAATTGCGAGTTTCGTTAATTATAGCATCCTTCACTACATAATTGATAGAATCAACAAACTCAAATGCATAATTCTTACTGCGCCAGCTATCAGGGACTAAGGCATACTTAGCCTTATGGTTTTAAGTTCATGATTATGTTTGCTAAATTGTATGTACAGCGTGGTGAGCCCAGCCCTAGGCTGGGGTACGCGCAATATAAAACTACTACTACTAATAATAATAATAATAAATCAATAGCTCTAAATAAAAGGTAGAAAACAAAAATATAGATCTGAATCAAATTAAAAACATGGATGTAAATGTTATAAAACTGTATAATTCCGGCTGCAGAGTGCTGCTTATCTATTCGAATTTATTGTTATAGAAATTTGCTGCTCGCATACTCAAAACTGCTGCATGGCGTCTGCGAGACAGCTTAAAGGGAATATTGTTCATAAGTTGATCTTGTGATATTAACCATTTTGGACTTTTGGGACTTCAACCAATTGATCCAGTGATCTTAATCATGTTGGACTTTTGGGACAAAACAATTGATCCTGTGAAATAAATCATGTTTGCTTTTTGGGACCAAACAATTGATCCTGTGATCTTAATCACTCTGGAATTTGAAACTTTAAACAAGTGATTTTATGCTTAAGTTTTTATAATCATATACTTACTGGATTATCGTTAAGGATAAAAAAAAATATATGCACATTTTAAAGCCCAGATTTTTTCTGAAAAAAAAAGACAGAATCTAAAATTTGACACTTCATTTTCCCAAAAGAACAAAATTTAAATTTGGAAAGTTTGAGATTTACAAAGCACCATTAAATAGAGTGATGATTTAATAACACCAAAGCAAGGAAATGGACATCATTAAATAGAGTAATGTTTTAATCACAGCAAAGCAAAGAAATGGACATCAATAAATAGAGTGATGTTTTAATCACAGCAAAGCAAGGAAATGGACTAAGTAAGGTTTCTATCCCATGGTGTCTAAATTTCTAGTTTTATTTTTAGATTTTAATAATTATTCCTTGTTGCAACAAGTCCATGCCAGCACATTGGATTAGACTCTACTAACTATTTTTATCCATTTTTTTCCATCCAGAGTGCAGCCACCTATCTTGGATTGTGGATAACAATAGATATGGTATCTTTTATCATCACAGTTTTTGCATTTATTTTTCAAAGGTGAGTGACAACAATTGTGTTGAAAAATATATATATTTACTTTATTATTATTTATTATGCCCCCAGCACCAAAATCAGGCTGATTCGCTCATTAGTCCTCTCCATTTTCCTGTATGCCTGCGAATCCTGGACATTAACAGCCGATCTTGAAAGGAAAATAAAGGCGATGGAGATGATATGCTTCAGATGCATTTTTGGCATCTGCTAATGGTACGTCCACGTAACAAGGAAACAAGGGCTTGCCAAAGAAATATTGCAGGGCACCACAAGAGGAGGGAGAAGAAGAGGAAGACAAAGAAAAAGGTGGGAGGATAACATCAAAGAGTGGACAGGACTAACACTGGGCGATGCAGTGCGTAGTGCTTAAGACAGAGAGGAATGGAGGAGGATGGTTCACATGTTATCTGTGGCGCCCCAACGGTCCAAGGACTAAGGGACATGAGGAGGAGGATAGTTAAAATAGTATCATAGGAGTGAGGGATATTGGGATAAAAGTTTTGTGTTGCTGTAGTTAAAATAGTATCATAGGAGCGAAGGAGCTATATTAAATCTGCTCCTTCAGTCAAATCACTATAGCACTATAAAACCCCATTATCAAATTTAAAAATAAAAAAAACTACCAAAACCAAAATATGTTTAAAAAAATTTTTTTTTATTGTTTTACTTCAAATGTTCATGCAGGAGTACCTTCCTTTGAACTCTGGAATTACAGAATTAAATACGCTAAGAATGTTTAACAAAATTTTAGAAACTGACTAAAAAACACTCCGGATAATTCAATGATCCCCCCCCCCCAACCTTTCATCCAAAACATTAAGTACATGTAACAACGGACCCGTGAACAAGTTTTGAAATTTTACCAGGGACCGGTGGATGATTTATTTTTATAATTTTATTTCTATTTGACAATAAATATTTATGTTATGGGGACCGGCTTTAGGCTTGCGGACCGGTGAAGGGCCACGGACCGCCATTTGGGGACCACTGTATAAAGGCATACATTTTTTTAAAAAAATATTTGATTTTGCTAACTACTTTTAAATCACTGAAACAAGTCTAACCTAGTTATAGCATAGAAAATAGTTCAAGTTTAAAATCATAGAGCTCCAAAAAAGACTCTCTGGGGCAAAGTTACCGCATCTGCCTTTTAGTCGGGGCTGGTGGGTTTTGGATAAATCCATGACGGTCTACAGCTGTGGGTAGACCGTCGGGTGAAATTATCTTGTCAGCCCAGCAGGAGTATTCTTGGGAAGGAGGAGATCTGTTTTAAAAAAGACTCAAGCAGAGGAGTGTGGAAGGGTGCAGACAACTTTGCGTAAAATAAAAGCTGACTGCCCATGCAGCTGATTTGCAACCTCGATGACATCCCCTTGGTATAATTATTTACATGGTGACCTGGTGTCTTTGTAATAAAATAATTCTACAGTGAGGTTCCCTACTCTTCTGTGAGCTTCAAACGCAGTAGGTGAAACCAAACAAAAAAAGATTGATTAAAAAACTGAAAAGTTGGGTATTTGGCACTCAAGTCTTACATTAGTTATGGAGGTGGGATTTGCTGGGGAGGTTTGATTAGTTGGGGAGATGGGAATTGCTATGCAGGTAATTAAATATAACAATTTTTCAAATTTGGAAGAAAGGCAAACCCATGAATTTCACATTGTCATTTGTTGTAGGGAGGTTAGCTGTCATTTGTAATTGGGCATTTGGGAAGTTGGGGGGGTAGTATTAATGGGTGGGTGGAGGATGCCACATATCCAACTTGTGAGATAGTTAAAATAGTAGGCTATTATTACATACAAATTATATTTATGACCCATTAGTTGGTCTTATCTTGAATTTGCTTAGCAAACATAATTTGTAACTAGATCCATCTGTACAGACTGTACATTTCTTGCATGAAATGAAATAATGTTGGTTGGTCTATTCAAGTCCTTGCCTACATGACTGACACATCACAAAGAGTTTGAAATTTGTAATTACTTAAACAGGATCCTCAGCACGGTTCTATGTGGCACCCTTACAGCACTGGTCTATATGGCCTCCCCCCTCCCCACGCTCTTAATGCATCACACAACACCTCTGCTCTTAATGGCACAATAACACAATGGTCAATGTTGCACCCAAACGCACTAGTCTATATAGCACCCTAACTCACCGGTCTAGATGACACCCCAAATCATTGATCGGTATGGCACCCTAACCCCACTTGTCTTGATGCCTAGTCTATTTTATTACCTAGGACTGCCACTTTAATGAGCACAAAACAGTGTCCAGGATTTGTCACTGCCTCTGCCATTTTTAGACCCATGTTCCGCAGAAGTCACTGCCTCTGCCATTTTTAGACCCATGCCCCGGAGGGTTCACTACCTCTGCCATTTTTAGACCCATGTCCTGGATGGGCCACTGCCTCTTCCATTTTTAGAACCATGTCCCGGAGGGGTCACTACCTCTGCCATTTTTAGACCCATGTCCTGGAGGGGCCATTGGCTCTGCCTATCCTCTTTATTTAGACTTTGTTGATTTTACCTAGTGCTTCTGTTAATTGATATATCATAGGGCTGCTAATGCCTTTGTGTCACAGTATCCATTGATAGCTATGTAGCACTTTAATGGGCTTTCCAGATGCAGGCTTCACCACCACCCCCAAACCACAGCACCTGACCTAAATTCCTGTGTGTGTTTTCAGTTTAAAAAAAAAAAAAAGTGTCCATCATTGGCATAGGTAAGGTTAGTGCCGCCCGAGGATATCAAGAGTTTTTCCCCCCTACTTCCATGAAAAAAAAAAATGCAGTCGGCTTAAAATCCCACCCCTCCATATAAAGAACAGAAATGCCCCACTTCCAAAGCCACTGATGTCAATTAGAACTATTTTTATTTGCAAATGCATACAAAAACCAGCAATAAGTGGGAGATTTTGGGATCGATGTTAAAATAAATATTTATTGGACCAAAGAAGAGAAGATTCAAAGAAGAATTAAGAAGTTTTCAAAACATGTGGACTATGAATTATTGTGGAAATTAAAACAAAGCCCATAACCTTGATATGCAACGAATCTGTTTCTGTTTTGAATGAGTACAACAAACGGCACTAAAAGACTAAACAAGCAAATATTTTTGATAAGTACAAAAGGCAATTTCGACAAGACCAAGTAAATGACATTGAAAACAAAGTAATTCTGCACAACAAAAGATATTTACTAGAGGGGGTTCAGAACCAACATGCTATTTAAAAAGCTAAATATGCAGTAGCCATGATACTAGCAAAAATCAAAGCCATATTCAGATGGTGAAATGGTTAAGGAATGTTAAGAGAGCATCGTTGAAATTCTGTGTCCAGAAAAGGATTTATAAAAAAATTATTCTGTCTCGTCAGACTATTATTAGGTGGGTAATAAGGGGAGAGACTGCAATCAGGTTAGTACAAAATAAAATGAGTAAAACAGAGTATGGTTAAACCTGAAAAAATAAACGCAACAAAACAGCGTCATTGGAAAACATATTGAAGATAATTTGAAAAGTCGAGCATCCGAGTTTATATTTTATGCTCTAGCATTGGATGAAAGCACAGATATGGCAGATACTGCCCAGCTGAAAATTTTTATCAGGGGGTGTTCTGACATTGCAAGCAGAAAAGTTATAACTATTATCACATCAATAGGATATCTTCTTGCTGTGATTCAGAGCTGGATCAAAGCCTTCTCCAGGCCCTGGGCACAGTTAACAGTGGCCCATATCCCTTGTATCCATAATCCCTAGAATTTATCGGTTCAATATTGTTGAGTTAGAAGGTGATCAAATGTGTATTTTTTCACTGTAAATAAAAATTGAACTTTCCATACAGTCCACAAAATTTATGTTGATATTTGACCTCTGTAGGCACATGCCAAGAAAGCAAATTAAGACCAACAGTGATATAAGCTTTGAACCGAGCTTTACCCAAGAGGGATGAATGTTTCAGAGTGGCTCATTCATGTTGTAAGATTTAGTTTGTTTGGATCAGTTGATCACGAATTCTTTATAGTCAGTTTTGAATAGATGGTCAAGATGTCAGTCAGTGCTGACCCAACGGTCAAAACATCATTACTGTAGGTGTTAACCAATATTCAAGATGTATGCCCTGTCAATGTTGACCTCAAGATCAAAATGTCTTCACTGTCAGTGGTTGACTTGCTGGTCAAGATGTCTTCACTGTCAGTGGTTGACTTGATGGTCAAGAGGTTTTCACTGTCACTGGTTGACTTGATGGTCAAGAGGTCTTCACTGTCACTGGTTGACTTGATGGTCAAGAGGTCTTCACTGTCACTGGCTGACTTGATGGTCAAGATGTCTTCACTGTCACTGGTTGACTTGATGGTCAAGATGTCTTCACTGTCACTGGTTGACTTGATGGTCAAGATGTCTTCACTGTCACTGGTTGATGTGATGGTCAAGATGTCTTCACTGTCACTGGTTGACGTGATGGTCAAGATGTCTTCACTGTCACTGGTTGAATTGATGGTCAAGATGTCGTCACTGTCAGTGCTTAACTAATTCTGTTCATTTTGACCTGATTCTGTTAAGTTTAACCTGATTCTGTTAAGTTTGACCTATTTATGTTAATATTGTTCCTGGTATTCAATATACCAGTATACCTATTATAAGATTTATTTTATTTTTTTTTAAAAAGAAAGAAAATTTGAGGTTGTCAGTTCAAATGATGAATTAGAAGTATACCATTAAAATCTTTAGCCATCTAAGAAATAATGATAAGGATTTTGAAGATTATAATAATATTATCATCCCAGAAATGTTGGTAAAGATTTTGCAGATTAGGTCAAGGGAATACCCCCCATTGAATTAAATTATTGGATTTGCTATTGGATTAGTTTATTATATCTAATGTTCTAATTTTTGTTCAATTGCCCAGAATGTTCCAGTTTCATTTCAGTTGACAGAATACCATCAAATATTTTAAACACTCGGAGGCTGCCAGTAAATATTGTATTGTTTTGTTTACTTAATTTAGTTTTTACACGCAGTGGTTCATAAGCTGTGTTCTGCCAGCCCCTGGAGCACAGGAAGCTATTTATGAAAGCCCTCATACAACATATAGTTATCAACTGAAATAACTGGTAGCAAGGACCTCTGCTTTAGGGCTAAGAGAAATGCGTATGGTTAAGCATGCCCCAAACCACTGTAGTTTAAGAACCACTGATTTATTTATTAATAAATCATTTAAGTAAGTACACATTTTTTTTATATTTTCAAAAACCTCTTCCTTTCAGAATTCAGCTGTATGGGACGAATTTCAGCCCAGAGTCTATCTCACTCAACACGGGACGTTCAAAAACCTCATACAGGTCGCGGACGATGAAAGAAAAGCTCCTACGTGATGCAGCTGCCCTTGACACTGTTGATGATTTGGAGGTTCGTGACAGTGAAGGGGGCGGTGTGGAGAACAGACCAGCTTACACAACTGAGTCCGCCCCACACTCCCTGTCACTGTCATCTCTACCAGGGACTCTTCACACACATCTGACTCGAGATGGAGATGGGGGCACATCAGTCACAAACAGCTACAGTCTGTAGCCACAAATGGCTACAGTCTGTAGCCACAAACAGCTACAGCCTATAGCCAAAATCAGCTGCGGCCTGTAGCAACAAACAGCCACAGCCAGCCATTACAAACATGTGACAGACATATGATAAAACTATCATCTACTGTAGCTAATAGTTGTTGAATTTTACTCAAACTTTCCATCCCGACGTCACTGACAGCTGTTCATGAATGTCACCAGCAGCTGTGCCGTCTGGCAAACGGCAGTGGATCCAAAATGACCAATAGCTGCATATGGGTAGGTCAAGACAACTGACAACACCTCCCTGCTGATATCTGCTGTAGACACCCGCCAGCCTTTCCCTTTTATGTTGACTTCCTTTTTTAAACATGAGACCTGTATCAGGAGAGGCTGATAAATGAGTTAAGGTTATTTTAATCTTGTTTCTGTTGTGGCAGAGTCATTAGTTCATAGATCATTCAGAGATCAGAATCACTTTAGGTTCTATGACTATGTGTGCTGTCAGGACAATTATATTTAAATCTTTTTTTATGTGTGCAAAGTATCAATGGCAAACTTCTTTGTTGTAGCCGGAACTCATTTCCTAGAACTCCAGAACCTAGAAAATGGCCAGGATATTTGTTCTGGGCTGAGCAACTGAAGCTTAAATTATATCAAATTAGCCATTGGCGCTTGTTACGTCACTGACAAATTAAGTTGAAATTTTGTTTTCATGGCAATTAATTTAGTACTAGAGCCGTGACATTTGTAATTTATTTTCACAGATGCATGTTTATGCCATTATCTTGTCTTGACTTGTTTACTTTTGGTGAATGGTCTTGTTTTCATAGACAATATTTGTCTATTATCCACCTGAATCTAAGAGCTTTATTCTGCCAGCGTCTTACATTTGGACTCTTTGTGTGATAATGATTGTATTTTAAAGTGTTGCTCAGTTCCTCTCACTGACCAGTATTGTCAATGGACATTCCACACCTGCTTTACACACACCAGGAATGCTAAATTTGTATGGAATATTCACTGTGCCTGTGTCTAATTAATAGTTTTAGCCCCCTGAAATGTTGCCTGGATGTCTGTCCCTAAAACTTACCCTCAGAGTTTTTTTTTTACCCATAAAAATATACCCGAGTGTAAATTCCAAATAATGGACTTCCACACATACCTTGAATACCTAACTCAAATAGTTGATACCCTGAATACCTAACTCAAATGATTGATACCTTGAATACCTAACTCAAATAGTTGATACCCTGAATAACTAACTCAAATACCTGATACCCTGAATAGTTGACCTCCAAACATTTCCAGAATATATACAATGAAACAATTGTAACAAACAATGAAACTACCCAAGATTATAATCCTATACATTTCCAGAATATCTATCCTAAACAATGAACCCCAAGATCTAAATCCTATACATTTCCAGAATATATATCCCAAACAATGAACCCCAGCTTTAAATCCTATACATTTCCAGAATATCCTAAACAATAGACCACAAAGTCTAAATCCTATACATTTCCAGAATATATATCCCAAACAAAGGACCTCAAGCTTTAAGTCCTATACATTTCCAGAATATCTATCCTAAACAATGGACCCCAATATCTAAATACTATACATTTCCAGAATATATATCCCAAACAATGGACCCCAAGATTTAAACCTACACATTCCCTAACTCTTAGAATTCAAACTAAATCAATGAAATCAGATATGAGAATCATGTGAATTCTTTACTTTAACGACATGTCAGCTGATTAATTAATCATTTATTTGGAAAATAATGAAATTGCTCCTACTTAAATTTTCTTAAATGTATGGATTTATGTGACACCCTAATCTGTTATTCTTGTAAGTGGTATTTTAGCTGTCTTGTCATATTAATTAGTGGTATTTGGCTGTCCTCCCTTATTAGTAGCTGTCCTCCCTTATTAGTAGCTGTCCTATGTTAGTGATTTTCAGTCCTGTCTTGTTAGTGGTCTTTTAGCAGTCCTGTCTTGCTATTACTAGCTGTCCTGTCTTAATAATGGTCTTTTTTTCAGCAGTCCTGTCTTGTTAGTAGTGTGTGTACTGTCCTGTCTTGTTGGTTGTATTATCTGTCCTATCCTGTTAGTAATTTTTTAAGTGTCCAGACTGTAAGATATGCCTGGGATTTGAACTCTATGTCTTTATGCATGTCCATAGCATAGATTTCAGCACCCAGCCTCTCAACAACACCTGCCACCCACACCTGGACTCCCAGATATTTGATACCGGTATTTAAGAAGTCCTTGATTCATGACCTTTGTCACCATCACTCTTGCTACGACTGAGACCAAGCTAAACACCTATCAAGTCCCAGCTGATCAAATGGAGACATCAAGCTAAACGCCTATCAAGTCCCAGCTGATCATATGGAGATATTGATTTGTTGGCTTTTAGCAAGGATCATGCACCTCATGAAATTGGACCTTACAAAAACATGTTTGATTCTCCTGGTGTGCTCTGGGTTAAGTAGGTCAGCAGCTGGTGTAGCATCAACTGGTTAGTGTCACTAGCCTCATCTGCCCCTCTGATGGTGTCCCTTGTCAAAATTTATTGGGCAATTATTTTTTCAATTTAAAAAATTGTGCCTGCCAACTGTTTGATAACCTAGGGCAGAGGTTCCCAACCTTATTTTTTGAGTTGTGACCCCCATTTTAAAGCTGCAAAGTGACCATTCGACACCAACACAGTCTTAATAAAAAGTAACAGGTAATTGAAAACACACATAAAATACTACATTGCAGTATTATAAAATGATGCAAACCTTTTTAATTAAAGATTCAATTTCTTTCAAATCATAAAATGAATTAGTCTACTGTTTTAGCTAGAAACTTCAAAGAACCTTTCCCCCCCCCCCCCCCACCCCCCCAACTTAAAACTTTAGGGTTGCAGCTATGGGTCTGGAAGCAAGGATAGGGGGGGGGGGGGGTGGTCGCATCACAATTATTATATCATCCAATTTGTGTTTAGTTGTGCAGTGTTGTATTATAATTTTTGCTTGAACCAACGTGTGTCTTATTTCAAAAGGTTGTAGAATAATAAGGAGTGCTGTCTTGATTGCAATTTAGAGTTATTACTGCTTACTGAGCCAACTTGTAACACTGGTGGGAGATTTTTTTTTAAAAAGAAATATTTGGTAGTATTGCTGCACAAAATATATATATATATTGGGGGAGCACTTATTGTTAAAAATAGTGTTGGTCAAAAATTGTGAGCTGATAGTGAAAACTATATTTGGGGGAAACAATCTTAGTATTTTTAATGGCTACCCAGGTATTTAAAAATTATTTTATAGATTTGTTTTCATTCCTGTCATTTTAATTGAAGGCAACTGTTAATAGAAATGGAATTGATGATTCAAAGTACTGGTAGCTTGTTACACAGCCTCCCCTCTGCGCTGTCATTCTCAAATTTATTTTGCTTGGTGTTGAAATATGTTGTCCATAAAAATTGTTGATGTATCGATGACATCTTCATCTGTAAAAATTGTTGATAAAATGGATGGCATCATTGTCTTGTTAAATTGTTGATAAACTGATGAAATCATTGTCTTGTTAAATAATTGTTGATATACTTACGATATCATATTTACAGTGGATTTAGGCAAAGTTCCTCTACAACTCCCAAGTCCTCCTTGTATACCATTGATAATTCAATAGTGGCATTATCAGAGACTCTATGTCTAGCTCTAGAACAAAATGCCTGAGGACAAGTAAACAAGATCTTGGACTATTAATCCTTTGAGTCCATTTGTGTCAATACATCTATTGATTGCCCATTGTTATTGGGGGCGGGGGCCGTGTTATTGATTCATTCTGGTCCATCGGTTGTCACACATCCATATTAATGGGAATGACAAATATGGCAGATTTACACAACCTAGAGATGTGCTAATGGAGGGATTGGGGGATGAGGGGGTGGTATTGCAGGCTGTAGGGCGCTGTTGCTGGTGCATATATCTAATCTTTCATGAAGCTGTACTGGTACTCATATTTATGGTGATGTCATTGACTCATTATGCTGCACATTTCTATGATGTTACTTCAGTGCAGACCTACATCTAGTCCAATGTTATTTTTTTCAAATGAGTGCTAAATTTACCCAGTTTTTTCCCCCCTTTAACTTCCCCAATATTCCTGATTACTTTTAAGTAAGAAGATAAACCCCAGCCTATATGTCCTTTCTTTTGTTTGTGAAACAAATGACATAATTATTTTTTTTTACTTAATCCATTTTTTTTTTGGTATCATAAAAAATATTGCTTGGATGAAATGTAGGCCTTTACAATCTTGATATTTTTAGGTTGTAATGAGCATAACACATCTGAATTTCCTCCATGTAACGTTTAGGTATTCAGCTGTCGACCCCTGCTGAGCCTGACTTGTTTTAAGTATTTCTTTCCAACTGAGTAGGAAGCCCTACAATGATCATTGTGTGTTCAAACTCAGTAGTAGTCATTGTATGTACGTACGTATATCTCAGGTAGTCCTGCGGTGGTAAGTGTATTTATGTATAAGTCAATGGTCACTGTATGTATGTACAACTCAGTAGGTAGTCCTACAATGGTCAGTATATGTTTGTATATCTCCCTAGGTAGTCCTTCAATGGTCAGTATATGTATATTTATCTCTGTGGCACTGCTATCATCAGTGCATGTAACTATGTTGCGTCATTTTTTTTCTCCAAGTTTTCCCATATCTTGTTTCACTCATTTCCTTTTACCTAAACTGATTACAGTCTCTCCCCCTTCTTTGTCTTCTTTGTAACAGTTGACATAGTTACAAATGATAAGGACTTTGTAATGCAGTTTTAGATAAATTTTATTAGGTTTTGATTCAGTAAATATTTTTAAAATGATGAACTGTGAATCAAATTTCACCAAACCCATATCTTTTTAGGTTCATAACTTATTCAAGTGTATATTTCATACCATATTAATCGCATAGCAACATATGTAGCCAAGGTATTCAACTCATCAGCTGTAATAGTCACCCCAAGTTAGGTCCATCTTTGATATAATCACCTCAAATTAACCAGTTGTAATAGTCACCCCAGGTTAAATTCATTTTTAATATTATAATAGTCACCTCAAATTGCCCAACTGTAATAGTCACCCCAGGTTAGGTCCACCTTAAACGATCACCCCAATCTAGGTGCACCTTTACTAGTCATCTCCGGTTAGGTGCATGATGAAACTTCAATGGTTATGATGGTCAAACAAACAAATATTTGAAATTATTTACACTTGAACATTTCACGGACTTCATACTTAACATCACCTGGTATTATTTTTGTAAGAACCATTTCACTTGTAAAATTTAAAAAAAATGTTATTTGCTTTTTTTTAAATGTATAAGTATTGCTGCAAACTATGATTGGTTGTCTGCTAAATATAGTTTTGAAACCAAACTTCCATATACATTTCTCACTTGACATAAACAGACCAAACCATTCGCTGTTACACACATTTTTTAAATAAAACAAATAATCAGCTCATGACGATTGCTACAAAAAGTTCCAGAACTCTCATTCCAAACTGCATTTTCAAATTGTTTCTTAATTTTATATATTTTCTTTTTAAAATGTTCCGTGCATGTGTTTAAATAGCATGTGTTAAGGAATTATCTGTAGTTTATATCAAAATACCCTGTGTTTGAAATGTTCTGTATTTATAATGTTGTTACCTATGATGATATGATAACAAAACTTCCATTTTACCTTGCGGCCCATCCATGTACATAGGATATTGTCCAATCAAACTGCTAACACAGACGTCTGCTTGTCAATTTATGGACATGACCTTTTCCATACCTGTGATTCTATAAAGATGACAGTTTCTTTTCCCAGACTGATCTTGTTCTTGTTGTATTCAATAATTTCAATTTTTTTTTTTTTAAAGTAATAATATATTATTTCATTTATTTGCAAACCTGATGAACTTAATATCATCAATGATAATCTAAAAATTTTCATTAATATTTCTAAATACGGGGTATGCTAAGGGAGACATTCCCCACCAGCATGGGGGGGGGGGGCGAAAAATCATTTTAAGATAAGACACATTAGTGAAATAAATGATAAAATCCCTTGTAGTCACAAAAACAAGGGCGCACAAACTATTTTTTTAAACTGGTCCTCCCCGGGTGACATTTTTAAAAAATTTATTGAGGGACAGCATTTTCAGGCTTCGCACATAATAGTGCGCATTTTTAGAATTTCACTGCTGTGATGGACTGAGCAAGTGTGATGGGCGAAGCAATCATGCTCATTGTTAAATATAATATAATAAAGATAATAAAATAAAGATAATGTAATAAATATTATTAAAAACATCACAGTGCACGATTATCCAAAATTAAGTACACTTTTTTAAACCCTTTATACCGATACAACTTCGCTTTTGTTCGTGTCTTCGTGGCAAAATCTTTGAAAGGCAAAATGACCCACTTCCCGTCATACTATCGAGATGAAACTTGGCATCATATAGACTCGTTGCCAATGACATCACATTCTTTCAAATTTTCATCCCCACCCCTTTTGAAGCAGTTTTCCCTGTTTTCAAGGATAACGTGAATGAAATATGATTTGTTCAATGGGTGCGTGTTTCGGTGTGGAGATTTATTGTGCAGCTTTTGCCACGTGTTTTGTATTTGTGACGTGTCTGGTTTACCATATATCTTTGAGTTGACTAGATTTTACGTGCACTAAGTTAGATTAAAAAAAACAAAACATTCCCATAATCTAAAAAACAAAGTCAGTTGCTGAAATCACATAAACGATAAACCGTGTACAGTTACATAAATGGTAAACCGTGTACAAGTACATAAATGGTAAACCGTGTACAAGTAGGCTACATAAATGGTAAACCGTGTACAGTTACATAAATGGTAAACCGTGTACACGTACATAAATGGTAAACCGTGTACAAGTAAATAAATGCAACCAAAAATGCATAGGCCTATTAAGGATTTCTACGAAAAACTTTGTTATTAGGGGTTCTTTAATTTAAGCTCAAGAAACACCTCCTCCCCCCCCCCGCCCCCAACCCCGGGCCAAGTATTTAACGGTCTCCCCAAAACAATTCCACAAGTCTGCCCTTCATCTAATCCACCAAAGGGTGACCCAGATTGAGGGTGTACAATTCCGTGTCCGATCCATCGTGGGGCAAAGATTTACATAGCGCTGGCTTTTGTCAGGTGTCACCGCTTGTGATGATACGACATAGCAGGAACAAGCCATTGAGGACCTGCGCTGTGATGATACGACGTAGCAGGAACAAGCCATTGAGGACCTGCGCTGTGATGATACGACGTAGCAGGAACAAGCCATTGAGGACCTGCGCTGTGATGATACGACGTAGCAGGAACAAGCCATTGAGGACCTGCGCTGTGATGATACGACGTAGCAGGAACAAGCCATTGAGGACCTGCGCTGTGATGATACGACGTAGCAGGAACAAGCCATTGAGGACCTGCGCTGTGATGATACGACGTAGCAGGAACAAGCCATTGAGGACCTGCGCTGTGATGATACGACGTAGCAGGAACAAGCCATTGAGGACCTGCGCTGTGATGATACGACGTAGCAGGAACAAGCCATTGAGGACCTGCGCTGTGATGATACGACGTAGCAGGAACAAGCCATTGAGGACCTGCGCTGTGATGATACGACGTAGCAGGAACAAGCCATTGAGGACCTGCGCTGTGATGATACGACGTAGCAGGAACAAGCCATTGAGGACCTGCGCTGTGATGATACGACGTAGCAGGAACAAGCCATTGAGGACCTGCGCTGTGATGATACGACGTAGCAGGAACAAGCCATTGAGG